TCACAAATGGATTGACAGATAAGTATTAAAATCTCGTCTAATAAGGGAATTGAAAACCACCAAATATTTATATTGAATGTAAACCAATAATTGCTGTCAAAACAATAAACAAATGTGCGAATGTATTCTGTAATTGGTTTATTACGGCATTTTTACCTGAAAAGTGTTCTTTGAAGATGCGGAGACGCAATCCAAATATTTGCATGGTGTAAGGGCTGTGCATAAGAAATAAAACGAGTATTAATGAGTCGTACAGTGCGAACTAATCTTTCTTGCGAACTTGAATTCTCAAGAGAGCAAGAAAAAATGGGGAAAATTCTTTCGAAGGAGTCAAACCATATTGTGCGTTATAGTGAAATATTCCCCATTAATGATAAAGAAATCGAGCGAGAGCATTTAAGGCATTATATCGAGCGAGAGGTTTTTAATGGAACATTTTCTTCGCCTGTTCAAGACATACTTGAAACTGGTTGGGCTAGAGTTCTTGACGTTAAGTGTGTAGTTAATTCGTTGCTTTTTATATTTAATGGAACGGATTGTAAGGGTAATAGTCTAAACAAGGCTGAGCTAGAAATGCTACTTCAATAACACCTTTAAACCTTTGTCCAATACAGTTGTGGTCCTGGAACCTGGCTTTTTGAACTATCATCAGATTATCCGGGCTGTAACTACTTTGGCACAAATTCGTCTCACACCATTTCTCTGCTAAACAATGGGGGAAAACCATTCGATGTGGAATTTGTTGATGCTAATCTGGTTAAATATGATTTTAAAGTGTGTTCAGATCGTGAAAATTTGAATGAACAAGAATGTGGATTACCATTCCGTAAGAGCGTTGATTCTTGAATGTTTAATATAATCTATTTTATTTTTCCCGTGCCTTTATTTGATGTTTTTTTCATTATGCGTGAATTTTGCAGTGGACAACTCTTTTGATTTTGTATCAATGAAATATTCTTCAAGGGAGTATACAGTATCAGAATGGGAAAATACCATTATAAAGGTTGGTTATTTTGTGACCTCGTCGATTTTTTGTCTAAGATCAATTTTTACACAAATGTCAAATCAAAATCCGGTTATTAAATTTAGGAGTTGATTAGAGTTTTGAAGCCGGGAGGATGGCTCGAGGTAATTAAGTTGACTTGTTGCGCTAGCATAAATTATCTTTAACTTAACAACTTTTTTCTGTTATGGCAGTTGACAGATTTTGAATTAACCATGGATGGAGGTGGACCTGTCTTAAATAAATTTCTCGAAACAAGTGTGTAATATTTCCAACATTTATTTGCACTTTTGATCCAACATTAACTGTATGAAACACATACGCTTTTTTACAACCAGAGTTAAAGTTGTTAGAATCGTTCCACTTAGAGACGGATATTATTCACAATCTTCCAAAAATCATGGAAGCTTCCGGGGAATTCATGAATGTTCAATTTGAAATAAAAAAATTTCCATTAGGCAAATCTTCCGGTAAATTAGGCGAATCAGGAAGCACATTATATTATGAAACGTATAAGTCTATTCTCTCGTACTTTGCAAAGCATTTGGGAATAAAAGAAAAAGATATTAATGCAACTGTTGACAAAATAAAGGAGGAGTTTGATGAATATGATGTTTATAAGTCGGCGTATCGAATTTTTGGGCAGAAGCAGTTGGAACAAAGAAACGACGAGATGAACGGAGAAATAAACGCGAGAACAAGCGATGAAACAGGCACGGATTGACGAGCTACATTCGTAGTTGAGAATGTATAAGGTGACTGTAAATTTCGTATTACAGTATCGGTGCATGTAGTAATAATATAATATAGGATTAACATTATTTAATGTATTATTCTTCTAAAGTCATTTGTTTATATTATTCAACCAATAAAGTTTTTTGCAATTTCTAATGATAACTTCTTTCTTTTTTTTTTTTTCACAAAAACATTTCCGCATAAAAACGATACAATAATTACGCAATCACGAATTACAGTAATTTAAACTTAAATATATAATATTATAATAAATAATATCAATCAAAGATATTATTATTTTATCTGGCATTTTATAATGAATTGTATACAAAATACATTTCTAATACTAATATTTCTAATATGTAATTATGTTTTAACTAATTATAAATATTACAATATTTATAATAATATTTAATAATAATAATTTTGTTATCACTTTTTTGTTTTTTTTCCATTAAATTATCTTGCTCATTAAATAATTGATTAATATTAACTTCTTTGAATAGTCTTTTGATATGCAAACTTGATGCTTTTACAAATTCTTCAAATAATTATAAAGTTATTAAATAAAAAAATATAAATTAAAGTTTTAAAAAACCTTTTGCTAAAATATAAAAATTAAAAATTAAATATATTAATACTATATCTTTGCACTATTTATTTCACAGTTAATTTTATTATTAATTTTATTATTTAAAAAAAAACACATTTAATAATTTTAATAATTTATTTTTTAAAAAAACAACTTATTTATTAGAATTATTAATTAATTTTTGAATAATAAAGGTAAAAGTTTTATTTTTATTTATTTTTATATAATTTTTAATACTTGAAAAAAAAAATATATTTAAATATTATAATCATTTTTATTGTTAAATATAAATTGTATCAAAATATATTATAACTCAAATAATTAAAAATATTTTAATCATTGATCTTAATTTTACAATTAGTACAAATTTCTTTAAATAAATCAAAATTCATTTTTCTTCTAATAATTTGTTATAATATTATAATTTTTTTAAAATTGATAAATTAAAAAAAAATAATATATAGGTTTAATAAACAAATATTATATTTATTTAATATATTTTTTAAAATTTATAAACAAATTTTTTAGATTTACTATTTGATAGTTTTAAAAAAATAAATTTCTAAATATTTATACTAGTTTTGGTTTTTTTTTTATAGATAAACATTATTTATTTATTTTAATTTGTATAATATTAAATACAACTCTTTCCCGTCAATCATCAATTTCCTTATTAGGAAATCTTTTCAAGAAGGAAAAATTTCACCAAGTTTTTCTCT